TTAATATTTTTTTAAAGTGTTAATTTAATCATTTAACTTTAATTCCGAATTAATTTAATATTTGTCTTATTTTCCTTACTATTTTTTTCTGTTTGAAATATTCACAAAGTTAATTCTCTTTTTCAATTATTTTATTTCCTTTTCGCTTTTAAAATCACTTACCAAGCTGCTAGTTTTGCATGGCCTGACAGTTAGGACGATAGATTCGCAAGCTGCAGATCGTGGGGTCGAAACCCGTCGCTGAAAATGTTTGTACTTTCAACCGCGGACATGTTATCCAACTATTGACTGGTATTAACTAGCTTCCTTCACTCTAATCTACAATATCAAAATTTCGGAACAGCTAGCTCACATAGCCCTCGAGTGGCTCTATGTGAAATCCAACAAACAAACATACCTGAAGCATCGGGATCAGTCCATATTTGGACCAGGAAGAGTCAGGTTCAGCGTTGACCACTTCCTCCCTCTTAGGAATTTTTTGTTTGTTTTTGCACTGTTACTGAATCCTCAGTAATAACCCTGTTATGTTGTTGCATTACTCACAGTATGTTGTATTTTGTCCATTTCCGCAGTTTTAATTAAAATACCATTTTCGTGCCATGTCCAATTCATGGGGTAACATTAACCCTATATTTTCACTTATGCATGATTGCACTATTAGTCTGTGTTCACAATACAATTCCGCTTAACAGTCATATAAACAAACACATAATACTATTTTCATACACAAAACCCTTTTTAAAACAGAGCTACTTTTGTGTCTAGGATTCCGTTGGCGTAAGTTTTATATTTATGATGTTTAGAAGGGAGAGGTACTCGAGACATCATGTATTATATAACTCTCTAGCTTGTTCTTCAGTTCATTTTTGCTAATATTTTTCTTATAATACTGAAGTGAGTTATCCAGGAGTCTGTCTGATAAGATTAGCATGTTTGAATAGTTGTGTAGAAATACTGAGTTTGTTGATCGTAGGGCTCTATATGCTTTCGTTAAAATATAGTTTTGTATTTGTTGATGTGTGTTTTTGATACAATGACATATTCTACGACTGGTCTGATGTATGTTCTGTAAATAATTAATTTGTTTTCTGGTGAAACTCCTTGGTTGTTGATGTGTGTTTTTGATACATTGTTATACGGGCATATTCTACGACTGTTCTGATGTATGTTCTGTAAATAATTAATTTGTTTTCTGGTGAAACTCCTTGGTTGTTGCCAGTCAGACTCCTAAGGTAACTGTTATGGTGAGTACACAACTATTACAACCCCACACAGAACGATTATAATTATATTTGTCATAAGACATTAGGAATATCCTTATTATATCTGCCGTTCCATGCACGCTTTATTTGTAACAATTCTCCCACCACTTATTACTTGTACACATTCTTTCTAGATGGCTCCAGAACGCGTTACCATTTGCTCGATTTATGACGTAATTGACAATAGCGACTGTAATAATACTTGCATGTATGTTATGCTGGCTGAACTTACTGACAACTACTTAGGCAAAACACGTTGAATAAAACAAAATAATTATTGCATAGCTTATACATGAAACATCAAGAGTTTTAAAGTAAATAATTCGTTATAAATTCCCTTCGTTCCATAAAATAAATCGAAAATTGTCGGGTTTTTTTATATACTGAATTAATACAATAAATTAAACATATTAACGATATGAATATTTTTAATTGAATATGTTTTAATTGAAGCTTGGAGCCCCTACATCTAAAAAGATGCAGAGGCATTGAAGACAGCGCTCTGAACAACAGGAAAAAGTAAATATACTGTTACTATTCAACCAACTCTCAAAATAACGTTATCCGCTATAGCCCTGCCATCTATGAATAAAATAAGTTTTAAAAAAATCCAATGGAAGAATGGCTTTTAGTTCAGTGTCACTAAACGGAGTATATTATATTACGAGGTTTGAAAGTTGCTAAAAATAACTTTTTAAATATAAAACATTGAGACTGAGAGATTAGTAAACCTAAAGAGAATGTTATACTTAATGTCCAAATATACATATTTATATTTTATTTGTGAATACCCAATTAAAACAAATATTACAAAATTTGGATAATTTTTTCAAAGGTAATAAAATTATTTTATCAAGAAGACAACCTAAACATTTATATAGATTACTAACTAAGTCTCAAAAAACAGATTTGCTAAAGAAGGTTTTTTACAAATGTGAAAAAAAGAATTGTTAGTATATGTCATCTAGGTTATGTTAAAATCACTAAAACAATAAAGATATTTTGTTTTTCATTAATAATTTACTTAATTTCAAATCCAGAAATATATCACTTAGAATGTGTAAGTTTAATGAATTGTATGTTCTTGAAACAGATAATTTAAGATTGAGGATGAATTCACATACATTCTAGGTTATATTTCCCTAAAAACCAATATATGCCAGCAAACGATTTATTGATGTATTTTGAACAAATTTAAAACTCTGAAAGAACCATATTTTCATGGGTTCCCTTTTTTGATATGTAATATAAAACGTTTGGTTTTGAATTTCGTGTAAAGCTAACGAGGGTTATCTGCGCTAGCCGCCCCTAATTTAGCTGTAAAAGACTAGAGGGAAGGTAACTAGTCATCACCACCCACCGCCAACTCTTGGGCTACTCTTGACCGTCACATTATAACGCTCCCACGGCTAAATAGGCGAGTATGTTTGGTGGAACGGGGATTCAAACCCATGACCCTCAGATTGCGAGTCAAACGCCCTAATCACCTGGCCATGCCGGGTCACTATAAAGCGTAAAAGATTAATTTTTCTAAAAATATTTTTTGTGACACTTTAAACAGATGATGCAAAAGGGCAAAAGTATTAGTAGTTGAATAAGATCGGTTGGAATTGTGTAACATTAAAAACTATCACAGAAAGGCCAAGAAAGTAACTAAGAGGTATATTTTGTATGAAAAATGTAAAATATTATGGAAATAAACTACTTTTCTACAATAGCAGGAGAAAGTCTTGTTAAAATAAAGTTTTAATAAAAAACAAAAATATAATTACTACAGGGAAGTACAGTCGATAAGTTTAAACCTACTTAATTTATTTTAATATATTTAATTTATCTAAGGATTATATTTTATGTTTTTACATTTGGAAAACTATGTTAAAGTTTACTTGAAAACTATGTGTTTAAGTTTATTTAAAAAGTGGTATTTGAACATGTTTATATGTAAAATATCATCCTTAAGAGTGACTACTGAAGAGATGAAACCGGAAGAAGAAAATAGAAGAAGAGAGAAAACAGAAGAGTTTATGAATTGTAGTGTTTTATGTATATATAACGTGTATGTTAGGAGAGTTTCTTTTTTGTAAAAACAAAATGCACAAAATAAGTTCAGTAGTTTAATAACAAATCCAAAGAACTCAACACAACAGAAAGTAAAAATATGACACATAAACATTTATCGTAGGTTAACCTTAAATACATGTAAAAAACACATATATATATATTTGGCTATCTTTAACAGGCGACAAATTCAACACACTATTGACAACTGATACCATCTAAATTCTAATCACACTTGTTCATACATTTTGACCTCGTTCGTTGATATACACATTATCTTGACTTCCTGACACCAATTCTTTATTCAAGAAATAATTTTGTTCAAAAACAAAAAGGCGAAGCCACAGTTCTATAATGTAAAGCAGGCTGAGTGTAAACTTAATAGCATTATTTTGTAATGCCTTCTCTTTTAGCCTCAAAAACATTACTGAATTTCAAACAGCAATTCACTAACAATTGTTGCTGAACATATGTTCTGATACCCGATTCACAAAGCAGAAACTATTCGCTTGTCATGTGACACTCTGTTCAATCTTATCACACGTATATGTATAGTTTTATCGATGTGATATTTAGGTTCAGTTATTATATATTAGATTAACTAATTTATTAACATTTCTTTCTGAAATGCATAGAATAAAAAGACAAAAATTAATGATTGAAGATAACATTGTGTACTGGTGAATAATTTGAATGTATTAAGTAGACGCCAAATATTTAGTTATTTTATATACGTACTATTAGAATAATATCACATTTTTATATAGATTAGAAAGTAAAATACTATACCAACAGTCTGAAAATTTATTTATTGAAATAGCTGTTTCACATCTAGTAAATATTACACTGACTTTCTACCTTGTTCAATCCAATGTCGTTCCGCATAGTTAGACAATAGTTATACATTTATTTTAAAACTTTTTGAACGATAATACAAGATCTGTTAGTTTTTTAATTTAAATAAAGCATGCAATGAAAATAAGGAAAAAAATTAATTTAAACACATATTTCAGAGTGCCAATGACCGCTGTGAATGCGATGATAATTTAATGAACTTTCTGCATTAAACAATTTCTACGAATAGGCTTAGAAACTGATCTTAAATCAAAACAACGACAAAAATAACAATCTATGTCACGTGTTCCAGTAAACATAACCGTTTAAAACACCGTAACTTTCTTCGAATCGCTATTCATTCCCAGTTGTTGTGGTTAAATATATTCTGTATAGAAATATTCTTACACCATAAATACAATGTTCATAACGATCTACAACAGGCTTCTTCCTCAAAATATGATTCACTGACATACAATGTAGCTCAGTAATTTTTCGCTTGCAAGAAATTGCTTATAACTGAAGCACTTTCTGTTAATATTTGATTACTAGTGATTAAGTTGGCTTGAACTACCGTTTGCTTATGATCTGTTATAGAGTAATTCGAATAAAAACGTTTTTACGAACGAAAACAGCTACTTTTTAAATAAAACTTTTACCTTACTTATCTCTTATGCGAAACACGTACAATTATTTATTTCAGTTTCTTTAAAATATTTTAAATAAATAGTTACTAGGAAACCGAATAACTTAACATTTATAAATAGAAAAAGTGCATGAAATGATGAAAATGACTTGAGTTTGAGCACAGTTTTTATCTATAAATTGTGTCATTTAAAAATAATTTTAAGGTTTGTTTTTCGTTAAAACCGGCGGGTTATAAGGCAGCCAGAACTTGGCGCCATCTGCTGTTCGTTGTCTAAGATAAATAACTGTTGATAAAACAGATGAGATTATCACAATGGCCAGAAGTACTACAAGGGAGATAGAAAAACTTAGTGTCGACATGCAGACAATGCTTCCTTCTTTTCGCTCTTGAGTATAATAAATTGGTGCAGAATCATTGGCTGTTAACGAAAATGACAAATCTCTAACTGAAACGACATGAATAATCTTGTTTAATCCGATCTCGGTCATTTCTTCTAACGCTGAACTACTGTCGTGATTAGGAATCTTTGCGTCTTCATTGTAGCTAACATCACGTTCCTCTCGTGGCCTACCAGCAGAAATATAACTTGGAGGCGGTTCTTGGATGTCTTCGCGGACAGTAATGGAGTCTAAGGGATAAGAGCATTGCTCTGGACACTGATATCTGCATATCTGGATGGTACATTGAATATGAACCTGCATAGAGTCTGGGAATTTGAAGGCCTGAAAATGGGCAAAAGATAGAACAGACGCACTGGACCCAAAATTCTTAATTTTTGTGAATCTGCTCATGAGCTTAGGCCTGACGATACAGCCTCTACCATCAACAAGCTTGATAGGCACTTGCTTGCCATCATGAGCGATACAGTTTCTGACCAGCATATCAAACCTATTCTCAGCATCTTTTATAGCTAACACCATGGTCATGGTCTGACCAATCTTAACGATTCCAGCTGTTTCGGTAGCCCAAGGTCCCTTACCTACCTGGATCTGCATCCAACATCCGACATTGTCTCCAGCAAAGTCAGCTCTCACTACATCTAGCATATCCACCGGGAAAGGTCGGAAAGTGACAGCCTTCTCGTAATGGTCGTGCCACGTGCAACGTAGTTTCCGGCCTTGGTCCCACACCTCTTGAACTTGAGGATCGTACTGAACAATAATAGTGTTTTCGAAAAATGTTCCACTACCACTGTTTCCCCCGTAACCATAAAGACCATTCTGTGTGTTTCCTTTAGTACCACAGCTGTTAACAGATATGTCGAAGTAGACATTCTTTCGACCCGATCCTGCAGGTAGATGGACACAGTTACCGTGGTTATAGTGACCCTTACTGAAGATAATTCCATAAAAAGGTTGATCAAACTCAACAGAAATTTTCATAAGGTTTTTTTCACATTTGACATCTAAATGGACAATCTTGGGCATCTCTGGCTGGGTTAATGGCCAAGGATCACTTCCAGGGAGGCTAGAAAACTCTGGAAACTTATTGGTCTGGTGGTCTGGTCTGAATCCTTGATGTCCAGAATATCCAGGGCTCTCTTCAGGTTTCACTTTGGACGAATAAGTAGCTTCAAGGGAACCATAACCACCTTGTCCATCTTGGGGTGAACGGTGATCAGATGAGTATCCTCCCAATTCTCCTTGTTTTGTTTTCTGCAGCAGAGAAGGAAAAATAAGAGAACCTTTCTGAGCTGGTAATGGTAGTATGAAAGGGATGGAATGACTCTCCAGGCTGCCTAACAAAGGACCAAATCCTGATTTTACGGGATGGTGTGGCAGCGGAAGAGGTCGATATTGGTTCGGACGCGAGTAATCTTGGTTCTCTGCTACTTCCATGTCGTCATTGGCTATCTTATCAGGTCTTCCTTGATCACTCTTTTCTTGTGTATCTTCTGCTGCAAAAATAACCTGAAAGCGTAAGATGAAGATGATCATTTAAAAACTAAAATATTGTATTTCACGTGAAAGAAAAACTGTCAATGAAACAAGTCAAACATGGCATTAAAATTAATCTAGAAACGATATCAAAAGTAGATGAATAAAACAATTGGAAATTAGGAGATTTATGTATTTCTTAGCAATTGATAAAAATTCTAAGCACAGAAAACAAAACCAATTAAATAGAATAAACTCAGTATCAGAAACTGATACATCCATCGATTTATATATTCAGTGTAAATATTAAGTTATTGTAAAAACTCACACACGCCTCCCCCAATCTCACCCAGTGGTGAGTCTGAAGGCTTGTAACGCTAAAAACCAGGTTTCGATACCCGTGGTGAGCACAACACCGATCGCCCATTGCGTATCTTTATGCTTAACTACAAACAAACAAAAGATGCATGCACCCACACACACAATCTTCATACAGAACAAGTTAAAGATACTTTACTAAGTAAAGTATTTTAGTTTGAATTCTATTCAGAAATAGGTTATTGAGAAATTACTTTGTCTTTCATAGTTCTAACAATTCAAACATCGAACTACACAGCAGAAACACTAATGTCATATGTACGTATATACAGAAACACGGCTGTCATACGTGTTTATAACCAGGAACATTGCTATCATATGTACGTATATACAGAAACACGGTTGTCATACGTGTTTATAACCAGGAACATTGCTATCATATGTACGTATATACAGAAACACTACTGTCATATGTACGTATATACAGAAACACGGCTGTCATACGTGTTTATAACCAGGAACATTGCTATCATATGTACGTATATACAGAAATACTACTGTCATATGTACGTATATACAGGAACACTACTGTCATATGTACGTATATACAGAAACACTACTGTCATATGTACGTATATACAGATACACTACTGTCATATGTACATATATATACAGAAACACTACTGTCATATGTACGTATTTACAGAAACATTGCTGTCATATGTATGTATATATAGAAACACGGCTGCCATATGTACGTATATACAGATACACTTCTGTCATATGTACGTATCTACGGAAACATTGCTATCATATGTATGTATATACAGAAACACGGCTGTCATACGTGTTTATAAACAGGAACACTGCTATCATATGTACGTATATACAGATACATTTCTGTCATATGTACGCATATACAAAAACATTGCTGTCATATGCACGTATATACAGAAACATTGCTGTCATATGTATGTATATACAGAAACACTGCTGCCACATGTATGTACATACAAATACAAAAGCTCTGCTGTTATATTTATGTATATAAATATGTGTATCATATATATGTGTACAACTTCTAAAAGAGCAATGCCCGATCATAACCAAACACATTTTCCGGTCAGGTCAACTCATTTTCTCAAGAACGAGATGCGCGAGCAGCTGATAGCCAATTGCCTCATCAGTTTGATCAGGAGGAGTGGCACATATAAATTAAAAGCCTGGTTATACCGACAATGGTTTCAGTTTTTACAGAGCATCCGTTCATAGTCTGCGCATGCGTAAACTATCCCGGAGGGAAAAATTCAGTTCCTTTCTACCAAACATTTCATTAACAGGTTTCTGAAACCGGAGGAAAGAGGACAAGCAGTGATAATCACTGCCCAGAGCGACCACTGTAGAAAAACGTGTACCGTCATGTTCTTTCATCCGTCACCTACTTCCCTAGCCACCGAGCACAGATGGGAAGCTACAAAACTAGGGATATGTCTGTCCCCCTGCTGCGACTTGGCAGACGAAGTTATGTCGATCTTGTAAAGCAGATTAAAACACCTGCAGGGCGATGCTGTAAAACGTTTTCTACCGGAATCAGGAAGTTTCTGATGATAACATGGTAACCCGGATGTTCCTTCACGTGTAAAAATTACTCGTATAATATTTCAAAGGATGTTTGATTTACAAGTATTTGTCGATACTATTGCGCTAAGAAATTTTCAGTACAAACTTAACTATAGCAAACAACAGCTGAACAATATTGTGAGACATGCATAAGAACAAATATAGCCTTGAAGTTGCTGTGTATGTAGCTTTACCTAATTCTCTGAATATTAATGATGTGTTTTTAAAAAGAAAATTAATTATTTTTTTATATGCAAAGGTATGGTTGTTATTTCAACAGCAAGAACTGCGTCAAAACATTTAGAATATTATATGAAGTTGAAAAACTGAAAACTCGTAAACTTCAAGAAGTTGTGACTGATTTAAAAAAGTTATATTAAAACTATATTGCAGTGAATTATTCAACACACTGCGATGTAAATTCAACCCTGTGTTAATGATTATATAGAACAACCAGTTAGTAGCTTGTATCATATCTCTCTCATCTTATAAATATCATAGATAACTGTAAATTAAAATTAAGTTTTAGCATAGTTGAAGTTGAAAGTGTATTGTTGCGTAAGCGAAGTCACATGACTAGTGTGACGCCACGTTTCTAGAACTATCCTGTACCTTGGCGAATGCTCTAGCGTTTACTAGATATAGGGTAGTCTGGTATATAAAAGAGGGTGACAACGTGACGGGAATGTAATGTGTGTGTAGATAGTGAGTAATTGAACTGCAGTCACAGGGGTCTCCGTTCGTTAATTAACTTTCCGTAACTTCGTTCCGACGAAACTTTAGCGACACAAATCCTTACTTAATAAAACTGGTTTATTCTTTCCGAATACAACTTTACGATACACTTATTTTCAACAATCACGCTAAAACAAACGCTATATCAACGAACGTCAACAATAGTAACAGTATTGTTCGTCCCGAACAATAGCCACTTACAATAAACCAATAACAATTATTAATAACTTAATTAAATGTACAGAATTACAAACACAAAATTACAATTCAACAAAGTCTCTTAATTTTACGGGACGTATCTTCTTCCGTACTGGTCTCCGTCTCGTTGGCTTCTGTTTCACATGGAGTTCATCTGCTTCATCAGGAAATGTCCTATCGTCTGTAACAGTCACATCAGTGGTAGTAACTTCATCAAGAGCTTCACCGTTTCCCTTCTCAAAACTGAGTAGAGTTTCTTCTTCAACATTGGCTTTTTCAGGTGACACGTTTTCAGTAGCGTCATTTGTTCTTTTGTTCACTTCATGTCCTGGATTGTGATAACGCCAAAGCCTGTTGACATGCACCACTTTTGGCTTACCTCGCCGACCACATTTTACCCGGAAAGTCACGTCTGAGAGACGATCCATTATGTCATATGGGCCTTCCCATGGAGAAGACAACTTAGGAGACTTCCCTTTGGACTTCCTGGAATTATACAACCATACCTTGTCTCCTGGTACAAAGCTGACTTCAGTAGATCTCTTATCATAAGTTAACTTCATCGAATCAGCAGATGTTTTCAAGTTTGAACATACTTGATGGTGAATATCATCCATCCTTTCCGATAACACTTCCACAAACTCTGACATATTCTCAGGCAACTCTTCATAATGTGGGCATCCCTTATGCTTGGGTCCCCTTTTTGCACTACATGTACTGCATGTCCTGCACCATTCTTCCACATCTCGCCTCATACCTATCCAGTAAAATCTTTGTCGTCACTTTCCCATCTCCTTACAAGAATACCATCTTCAAGCTTTAACTGGTCCCATTGCGCCCAATAGTGCTTTGTCACAGGGCTTAGACTAGACACCTTCTCCCAAGCAGGGCGCACAACACTTGCTTTTAGAAAATCAATTATCGGCTTCAAATCTTGGTCTATCTCCTGTTCTGCTTTGATATCTATGTTTGGTTCCACTTCATCATCATCAACTCTTTCAGTCAGCTTGATGGCACCTAATTATTTCAACCTCTCTTTTAACAGTTACCAGAACTTGGCCTTTGTTA